TAAAATATTTTTTCAATTAAGAATTATTAATAAATTAATTTTAAGAAAAATCAAAATTCATTTAAAATAAAAATTATTGATGTAGTATAGAACATGAAATGTAATTTTATTTTGTGTGTCAATTTTGACCCACTCATTTCATTTAGATTTAGTAAAAACAGCCAACAACCAGCCAGCCAGCCTTGTTAGAGAGAACGCGCAAAAGGTATATTTAATTGTTATTTACATTGCGCTGGAATTGAACGTAAACATAGCGACGAGAATACACATTTATATGTATATTACATTGTTATAATAAAATAGGTATGTAAAAAGAAAAAAAATGTAAGAAAGAAATATTGAGGGAAAATAATAATATGTAAAAAAGCTTATTAGAAAGGCTCAAGACTTAGAATTATATAAAGAAAAAGCTTATCTGAAAAATTAAAAAAATTTCGTTGAAAATACCCTTATAAGTAAAAGAATAAGTCGGGTCTGAACGACTCAGACATGGGGCACGCTCAAGTATGTAGGAGCAAAGCCATAACTAGCTGGACAATTTCTAAACCTTAACAATTTCGGTAACAACCTCTTTAGCTTGATGAAAGAATCGTTTAGTACTAAATTTTGAAGGATTCGAACATCTTGAAGCAAGTTATGACTTTGTGCCTACTTGGCGAGCGCTGTACCCCTCAGACATAGCCGGTCAGACTTTTTGAGCTTAAACTTGAACTCGTTGTTTTAGAACTTGAGTTAAGCTTAAATTTTTCCCCAAATACTCGGTGTTTAGAGAAATACCAGTGTTCAAACTATGAGATATTTTAACGTGAAAGAGTGGGATTAGGAAGAATTAGGAAGACGAGAGGACCAGAATTTCGAGTATTTTTCTTAATTTTAATAAAGCTCTGTTCTCTCATTCAATATGAGGACAATGAGAGGATATTCAGGTAAGATATTCATTTAAAAAAATTTATTTTTGGGTATTATATGCCTTTTCAAGTCAAATAGTTGTATAGATTTTGATTAAAGAATAAAAAGAAATATTTTTATGATTGACCTTGCATTTGTAGTATAAAATGACTGTCTTTCGTCCTTTTCACTCAAAAAGTCGTAGCAAATATAAAATATTTTTAGCGCTCTCCGCGAAGCTTGATTTAATGGTCAAAGCTGGAGAGGTAAAGAAGAATTTTTGCATTTTAGGGGAAGGAGGGGGGAGGTTCCTCCATTGGCGATCTTCAGGTTAACTATTAGAGTATATAGCTAATACCTGTCTCTCCAAGAGTTCCAAAGCCTGCTCGAACAGGATAGCTGGAAGAATAATTTTTTATAAAAATACAGTATGCCAAGAAATTCAAAAATTAAAAAATCCGCCAAAATATTAAGATAGAGATACTAGAGGCTTAAATCAAAAATTGCTTCGGGACTCTAAATGTCCCTGTTGTTATTTTTATTTTTGATCTTTTAAGAAAAGCTCTCACGAAATAATTTCATTTTTCAACAACTACATAATTGATGACAGTTTTCTTTTTATAAAATACAAAATAAAATTACTTTTTATTGTGTCCACTTTTAATAATAAAAAATGTTGTTGAGAGTAGGTATACGGAAATTAGCAAACTTTACGGACATTAAAAGATTAAAAATTTTGTGTATGGGTAAATTGTAGATTGGTCAGTGAACAATAAATATGAATTTGTTCTAATCTTAAAAACATTGAGATACCGTCTATATAAAGGACAATAAGTGGCTGGGTTGAAAGTCTATTGTAGAGGGATCCTCATTGTATATGGAATCATTGGGAGCGGGCTAACGTACCTCAATCATAAAGCACCGCCGAGCTATAACATCGTTCAAGATTATCGAATCCGGGACGCTCTGGTAAGGTGTCTCGACCAGCTGAATCTAACCATATCAGGGCGTTCCGGATTCGATAATTTTGAACGAAGTCACAGCTTGGCGTTACCTTGGGGATCATTTTACTATGAGGAAACTGGAGAATTATTTCGAGAGATATATGGAGATACTTTGAGGGGCTCTTCTAAGAAGTCCATTAAATAGAGAATTTCACTAAGGAGAAGGTCTTACTATACTTGCGTAGCAACAAGCTTCAGACTGATCATCAGTCAGTCAATTGTATATGCGGCCAAATGTATCGAGTTCAGCTCCATTTTCTCTGATCAGAGAAAATTCAGAACCTTTAGGGGTTTCCGGGAAATGATTAATTATTTATTTTTTTGTAAATATTTTTTTTGATATAAATTATAACAGGTAAAATATAATAAATAATAAGAGTACATTCTATTGTTTATAAAAAGTTGACACGTAAAATAATAATTTATAAAGATTAAAGCGAAGATAAAAATGTAGGAGTGGTATTTTATTAAAAGCATAATGAGGGAAAAGTTGGGTAATTTTTCTAGTTTATTTTTTAATTTTTAATAAATTGTAAATTTATATTTATTGTTATAGGAAGTTATATTTTAGGTAAGCATTGCAGAAATAAAATTTATTTACTCATTTTTTCGTTGTTTAACCACAAGAAAGAGTATAAGAATCCTGCTATAAGTCTTCAGGATCACCTTTTTCTCTCAGTAATATGTCGACTGATTTCGGTCCCAGAGTGTATTTTTAGCCTGATTTGATACATTATCACACATTGATTCCATTCGTACGTTGGCCTAATTCTGTATAGAAGTGGGACAATCCGAGTGTATCTGTATTTCAGTGAAACTTGGAGGGAGGATTGGCGATGGATGCTGTATTCTTCCAATTAATAATCTCCTTCTCTAATAACTCTTTATCTACATCCACGACATTAAGGATAAAATACTTGGAAAATTTAATATAGCTTAGTCTACCTTTAGGTCTGATCATATCTGAGAAAAATCCCTTAACAGTTTAAATAATAAAAAAATTAAGATCATTAAAATTAACCTAAAAATCACCTAAAATCACTTAAAAATCACCCAAAATCACCTAACAAATTTTTGGAATAATTTTTTATTTTAGTAAGTAAATGATTCCTCTAAAAATATTTTTATTGTCTCTATTATCGTTAATAATTTGTACAACATTTTTTAATAATAATATAGCTCAAGGTGATCTTAAAATTTAACATATTTCTTGAAAATTATATTAATTAAGCTCAAAATGGAGGAACTATAACAATAAAGGATAAATATATCAAGAAATGGAGGCATTCTAAAACAGGGATATTAGGGGCTAATTCAGGAGCTAATTCGGGAGTAAATACAAGCAAAAATTCAACAACAAATTTAAAATCAAATTTTGGGGTTAATAAAGAAGCTAATACACCAAATACTTCGAAAAATAATAAATTAGCTAATCCATCTGCTAATTCAAAAATAAATTTGAAAAATAAAACAACAAATACTAATACATATTCAGCAACAAGTTTAGGAAAATTAAGTAATTCAGGAATTCGGCCAAAGGAGACGACTACTACTAAACCTATTCTAGTTAGTTAATGTCGGATATCTTTCATAAGATACATCCAATATTCCCTCTAAAGTTTGTTTGTCACTGGGCGATAAGGTTGCCGGATCACGGGAAAACACCGGATATCCGGACATCTTGATCCTTTGGCAACTCTTCCGTCCCTACTGGACGGAAGAGTTGCCTAACGATACATTTTTCTCTTGTTAAAAATACCTAATTGCACATAAGATAAAAGTTTCCCAGCCCTAGGAAGGCATAGAGAGATTTTAACCTTGTTTTAATTTTCATACATTTTATTACCTACCTTATCAAGAAAAATAACGGAGACGATTCATATGGTACTGTACAAGGAGCTGGAGCTAACCTGGCTAATGTGGCAGTCGCATCGCCTGTCAAACCTTCTCCACCTTTAGTAAATCCCTGTTTTGTACCTAATTAAAATTAGTTTTTAGAGTTACTCGACAATAGCAACAACCCTTCCCCCAATAAGCAATCCTCCTCCTGTGCCAAGTCAAACACCACAAAACCCAGAAAACTATGTTAATGAAGCGATTACAACTACTCAAGTGTTGAAGAATAATGCTGGAGTAGCAGCGCAAACATCGAATCCACCTACTAAAATTGCAGAACTTTCAACCGGAGGACCATCAACCTTATATCTCCCTATATCATCCTCAATAGAATATTCTCCATCTACCCCTAGCCCATATATTAACTCGAATCCGCCCAACTATAACCAACAAAATTCAAATATTAACTCGAATTCCCCACCCAACTATAACCAACCACAGTACGCCCTCCCTCCAGCAATTTCCCCATATGAAGTAAAACCAGCACAAGATTCTAATGCAGTACCTGCAGTACCTAGTGGAGATGCTTATGAAGCTTCTGTTTTGGAACAGACAAGTGGGGTAATTGTTACGACTGCTATTATTCCAACAACAGAAACACCGACTACTACAATAAGAACAACAACTAGAGGTACTTATATTTCACAAAAAACCATTAACTTTTTTGTTGAAATTTCGAGTGCCGCCATGTGGGCCAGATGTACTCTTTGTTTTGGATTCAACTGGTTCTGTTCGTAATGTCTATGAGGCGCAACGTGGATATATCTTGGACGTGGTTCAACAAATGGATATTGCATCAGATGGACAACATGTCTGTCATTATAAAATTAGAATGATTTGGGGAGAGAAGATAGGAGTATTAATTTAACTCGAATTCTGCTTGGAGAGAGGATTAGGAGGGTGGAGAGAGGATTAGGAGGGTGGGGAGAGAGGATTAGGAGGGTAGAGAGAGGATTAGGAGGGTGGGGAGAGAGGATTAGGAGGGTGGAGAGAGGATTAGGATGAAGGGAGACTGAATTTTAGCGGGGAGGTATGAGTCAAAGGCTGATTCCCATTCTTCCAATCCCTTCTAGATATTTAAGAAAGGCAAAAACAAAATTTTAGGTTGGTCTAATCATCTATAGCAGCAAACTTAGACAACGGATAGTAGTGAATTTGGATGAATCTTTGACAAAAGAGCAGTTTCTTAAAATTGTTCATGGTAATAACTGAATGAAAATTATTATAAAAACAAAAAACATCAAACAATTTCTTTCAGAATTACCATATCATGGGGGAATCACAGCAACAGGCGCTGCTCTCACTTTAACTATAAAAGCCTTAGAAAAGCGACGGCCTAGCAAAAGAACACTTGTTATTTTGTTTACTGATGGATTTACTTATGACGATTGGGAAGAACAAAGCCGTACATTATTATCTAAAGGTGTTGAAGTTATTGTGGCAGGAGATGCTCAAAGCTATTTGCGGTTAGTTTTATAACTGGAAAGTTTTATTTTTTTGTTTTTAGACCAGTGCTGGACAAAATCGCTGGTGATCCATCAAAAGTTCTGCTTGGTCAAGAGAATAAACCTAAAGTTTTGGATTATCTTCGATGTAGATGAAAACTCTTGAAGTAAATACTGTTGATGCTGTTAATGCTAACTATATTTAGAACAAGAATCGTGCCACTATATCTACGTAATGTGACATTATATCCCAATATCGTTAAAGGCACGGTTAAATGTACATACTATATTTTCTCATTCTTTTGTATTTTGTGTGATAAAAACTTAAATGTTATGAATATCGAACAGTGTTTTTTTCTTGATTAAGTTGAGAAAAGTCTCTCAAGATCCACAGAGTTACCCCAGTTTGGTTTTCAAAAACACCAAATTTCCTTGTTTGTTTGGCATTTTGTTTTAATTGACATTTTGTCCCAACATATGATCGTCATCAGAAAAGGGCAAAGTTCTTTCTCAAACTTTTTTTTCTTTGAAGTTGCCTAATTTTTTCTTTACCAGATACAAATTACATAAATTACCTGCAAACAATGTCAAATATTTCAACGCGTGCTGACCAAAACGGGAGCAACAAACAGAAAAATTCACGGGATTATGAAGCGGTTATTTTTTTTTAATCTTTGTTTTTTAACTTGATTTAAATTTAGAACGTTTTTCTGTTGAGTGAGGTTTATGCAGAACTTGTAGATCAACAGACGGGAGTTAGCAGTTTTATGAGTGGAGTGCTTTCTGTTGTTGAAAAGGTATAAAAAATATTTTTAATTCAACAAAAATTAATTATTTTTGTCTAAGTTTCTATAAGTAAGCTTAGGCAAAATAATACCAAAAAAATAGTAAGGGAAGGGATAACTTGGGGTTATCGATTTTCCGGGTTGTCTGATAATTGTGGCAAAATCTTAATAATCTTGATTTTTCTGCCAAAACCTTGGTTTTGGTTAGGTTTTGGGTAAGGATCTTGACCAGATTCTTGACCTTTAGTCAAGCAAAAATCAAGGATCACTGAAAAACTCCATGATTTGACTCCGGATCTAGGAAAAATAAAGGGCTGGATCCAGAGATAGGCCAATTTTTACTAAGAATTTACGTTTTCTCATCTTTTGGATGCTTTCCTTTTAGTTATATTTTATAGTTATTCATTTTTCCTCTTCCTTTTTCAGGGTGCAAATTTAAAAAATATAAATCGAATTTCAGTCTTGGGGCGTCTTTTTGGAATGGAAGCCTTGTGGACCTCTAACGGATTCAAATATCGATAAAGACGATGACACTTCTGAATGGGTCATTGAAGAAGCCACAGAGGCTTTGATTGAAAGCTCGATTTCTGGCAAAACAAAAAATTCGTCAAGCCGAAATTCCCCTTCGAACGGATCAAATCCTTCCTCAAAAGAAAGAGAAGAAGCTTTAAAACAACAACAAAAATATTGTTTTTCTGTTGATTTGAATTCTCTTCGTTCTTTTCAACATTCAAGTTTTAAAAGAGGTTTTTGGAATTTTTTAAATTTTTTTAAATTTATTTTTTAGACCCAATTTGGATACGTTTTATATGTAAAGATGGTACTGATTCAAGCAATTATCATTTACGCGGTGGGGGATACGAATCGTTGGTTAATTGTCTTCAAAGGTTGTTTTTAAGGGTTGAAACTAGGGTTGGTGTGTCTTGGGAAATCCCTGTACGTTTGGATTCGATATATGATCCAGGCCCGTAGCCAGGATTTTTTCGGGAGTGGGTGGCCAAGGCGGAAAAATTTTTCAACGCCGCAGGCAAAATTTTGGAAGGCCATAATCCAAGCAATTCACTTTTTTTGCCCTATCCTCCCCCAAATTTATTCCTTTTCCCCATTCCCCCTGGTTGCTGGCCTTTCTGATCCGATATTTTTGGATATCCGAGTTTTTTTAGATCGAGATCCGCTAATACTAGTGTCATGTGGGATTTTTTGTGGGATTTTTTGTGGATTTTTTGATAATTTGTGGGATTTTTTGATAATTCTCCTCTTTATTTGCAGATATGTCTTTTTAACTCGTTCATCTCGAGCAGAAAATTTGGTGATAATTACTGACAGTCGAACCGATGCGCTTGAAAAATCTGTTGGGATGTTGAATTTAGACAAGAAGGATATTCTTACGCGTTTCTTGGCGAATCCATATGCAACGTTAATGACTCAAGCAACAAAAGTAACATCTGCACTTGCACCACTTCTTGATGTTGATGCTATTAATGCTGAAGCTGAACTTCGGTATTTAAGAGAACGACAGCGTGCGGCAGAGGATGAGGCTGCTAAACTCAGGTTTTTGTGAAAATATTCCTTACAATCATTCCAAATTTTTTTGTTGTTTATTGCCCTATACTCAAGGTGGGATTACGGTTTGCTGTTTCATTATCAGTAAATTTTTCGAGTAGCCTACAAGTGCGTAGCCAGGAGGCTTCTGGGGAATCCCCTGAAATCAACCCCTACGCCCTTGGTAGCCTAGCTTATAAGTCGAATCGAACATTTTTCTTTTCTAGTCTGGTTGAAATTGCTAGCCATAGTGGTTCTTTTTTGTATCTAAAATTAAGGAAAACTAAAAGATTTCCTGTGCGTATGTTAGTTTCCTTTTCTTCCTTTCATTTATTTAGTCTCCGTCCAAAATATCTTTTTTAAAGATCACACAATGAAGCAGGATTTGAGCATATTTTTCAACTGGATTTGCCTGCTCGTCCACGCATTTTACAGCGAGATCCACCTGTTGATTCAACAGTTTGGGAAAAGTTTCGAGCTCCAGATGGCCACATTGAAGATGCGCATGGTCTTCTTTGTTTGGTATTTAGAGGTGGAATTGTGCCAGAAATGCGTTGTACTATTTGGAAATATATTCTTGGATATTTTAAATGGGACTGGTCTGATGCTAAAAATGCTGAGGTTTATTTTTTGAAATTAATTTTTAACTTTTGGGATAATTAAACCAACCCCGAAGGCTATTTATTCACTTACATGTGAGGGAAAGTTAAGAATTTTTTATGCTTGTTAAGAGTAGTTAAGTTATACCTTGGGATTTATTAGCAAAGCTGGGCCTGATTGCCAGCTGGTCGGCGCTTATACTATTCAGCGGGGATTTTTCTCAACCCGTGATATCCCTGCTATACAGGGACTACATTAAAGCAAAAGCAGACATCACTAACCCACACCAGGCAGTAGTTGTCTTTCCTCCCCAATTGTTAACTTATTGTCAGATAAGACTTTGTTTTATAAAAATTATAAAATAAATTTTTAGAATCGAACAAAACTCGAAGAAGAATATTATCGAATGAAGCTTCAATGGGTAACTATAACGGATGACCAAGCAAGTCGTTTCTCTAGTTATCGTGACAAAAAAGCTTTGGTAGAGAAGGATGTAGCACGTACAGATCGAAGCCACCCATATTTTAATCAATCAAAACCTAAACATTTGGAATTACTTCATGATTTGTTAATGACTTATTGCATGTATGATTTTGATTTGGGTAAATTTTTGCTCCTCACAAATTTTTTTAAAATAAATTTTTTAGGTTATGTACAAGGAATGAGTGATTTTTTAAGTGTTCTTTGCGTTGTGCTTCGAAAGGAATCTGATATTTTTTGGTGTTTTGTTGGGTTAATGGAACATGTGGTTAGTTTTTTAATTAGTGACTGATGTGAGTAGGACCATTTGTCCCTTCACAAATATCAAGATCGATGTTCCTTGAGACATCGATCTCGCATCTCATGTCAGTTCTTAGGTCTAAGGGTTTGGCCTGGCCCCGTATTCTCAACCTCGACAAGCCCGATCCCTAACATTTCGGCCCTGACTCTTATCTCTGCACAAATACCAAGATAGATGTACATCGATTTCGAATCTCATGTCAGTCCTTAGGTCTAAGGGTTTGGCCTGACCCTGTCTAACCTTGACCCTGATATTCGCCCCAATCCCTATCATTTCGACCCCGATCATTTTTAAGTCTTTTCTCTATTTTCTAATATATTCTTTTTATTTTTTCAGCACAAAAATTTCGAATTAGACCAAGTACATATCAAAACACAATTGTCCCAGTTGAAGAGTCTTGTTGAAATTGTAAACCCGCGTTTGGCTATTTATTTGGGTATTTTTTTAATAAATTGAACATTTTTTAAAATAATTTTGTTTTATAGAAAGTCAAGATTCTGATCATATGTATTTTTGTTTTCGATGGATTTTGGTTTTATTTAAACGAGAATTGTCATTTGATGATTGTCAATATCTTTGGGAAGTTCTGTGGACAGGAATACCATGCCGTACTTTTATGCTTCTTTTTTGTGTTTCTATTTTGGATACACAAACTGATATTATTATTGAAAATCGTTTTGGTTTAACAGAAATTTTGAAGGTTTTTTTTATTTATTAATTTAGTCAAAATGTAATTTTTGGGGGTTTTGAGGGTGAGGAAGGAAACTGATTAATTTTTGTTCAGAACATCTCTTTTGCGACCCTCATTCTCGTTTATTAGTAGTGAAATTTTGCCTTTTTTTTTAATTTAAATTTAGTCATACTTCCCTATAAAACACACCCAATACTGGATACACCTCAATTTAACAATAAGCTATGCTTTTTAAATTTAGTCGGCCATTGGGTAGGAGGATGGTGCCCTAGTGATACCTTCCTATTTACGATTAGGGTTGGGGTTTTCAAATCGGGCCGACGTTCGAGACATTTTTTAAGCTCCATTTTATCGAACTGGACCGACCGAGTCTTTTTCGGGCCAAAATTCGATGCCCGACTCGATCTTTTGGACCGGATCGGACCTCCAACCCTATTTAAGAATACTCCTCATTATAAGACAAGATCTTTCTAATCCTAACTATATGATTGTATTAGTCAGGCTAGCCATATCAAGTACCTATCCAATTTTCCCCAAATTTCAGCACATTAACAATTTGTCTATGCACATTGATGTACAAAAAACCTTATGTACAGCTGAAGCAATTTACCATCAATTAGCAGCAGTTCAAGACAAATTGCCTAGGCACATTTGTGAAATTTTGAGTTTTAATCATGCAGAAAGTATTTCTTGTAATAATAATGAAAGAAAAGAAAATGGAAAATAAATTTAAAAAATTTTAAAAATTTTTCCTAAATTTAATTCTTTTTGGTAATATTGAACGTGACAGACCCCCTTTTTTCCTCCCCAAGTTTTCCCCCTATATTCTTACAGAATGGTCAGACTTTTTCCTTTCTCCCATCCCAATTGCCTTTCTATATTTGCCAGCAATCAAGTACTCCTCCTTTTTATAATCCTTTTTGTTTGTTTGCAGGCAAAAATTAGAAAGGCAAATTGGATGGAAGAAAGGAAAAAGTCTGACCATTTTTAAAAAATATAGGCTGAAAATTGGGGAGGAAAAAAGGGGGTCTGTCACGTTCAAAATTACCTTCTTTTTTGCATATATATTCCTCTAAAAAATCGCGCTATGTATTTTTTAGTAATTTCAAATTCAAACAACAAAAAAGGGGTTTTTCTAAATTTATTTAAATTAATTTTTATTAAAATTATATATCTATTTTTTGGATATTTTTTGGTGTGCTTGTAAATATTTTTTTTAAATGGAGATAGCCTCTATAATTTGTTTTTCTATGAATTCCGATTAATTATTAATACTAGGAACTTTTTTATGAACTGACCTAATAGTAAACCTGTAAAATTATTTTTAAAAAATTTTTAAATTTTGAACGAAGCTATCTTTTCTTCACAAAAATACAATTAAATTCACACATTATGATTTGCTATAATTTTTTGTGTTAGTAAAAGTTTGAGTAAAAATTATTTTAAAAATAAATTTGAAAAAAGTAAAAGTTATTAAAGTTGTAACGTTGAATTTATGAGTGAAAAGATGATGTGTTAGACTTAGAAGCATTTACTAGTCTTTAAAAGTATGTAAAAGTAAATGGCCATTTAGTTCCTAGAGCTATGAAGAAGGCGTTGTATAGAGGATAACGCGTCAGTCCAACTGAAGATCCGCTTCCAGCCGTAGAAGAAACCCTTTGCTTTACCTGTGGGAGAAATAACCCCCAGCTCTCCAATTTTCATTATTTCCCTCAAAAGATTAACTCCGAGTAAACATAACTGATTCTTTTAGTTTTGTTTAATGTTTAAATTTAAAAAATTAAATTATTTAATTTTTTAAAATTTCAATCAATAAAAATAATATTTAAAAATCACAAGACGGCAATATTTATTTTAAAATTTTCCCGCATGCCAATAAATCTATAATTGCCAACTCTATCCAATAGCCATGAGGACACGTCGACTTACGCCTATCTGTCAGGCCTTATGAAATCCTTCCCCCTCCTCTCCTTATCATTTATTAAATTTAATGCTTGCGCTTCTTCATTAACTCCGCTTGTTAATTAACTCCGCTTGTTAATTTAAATAAATAAAATTTTAAAAAATAATTTTATAAGGCAGGCTGTAGAAGCTTTTATTCTCGTTTAATGCCTTTTGCCTGTTAACATTAATAAAAATTAATTATAAAATTTTAGATGATCAAACACATTGTTACAACGGTAAATACCGTTGTGCTCGTTTGTCTCACGTTGACGGAAGGTCGAGTGATTTGGCCTGTTAGAGAGCAGAGCGAAGTATCTCCTTCGTATTACGGTTGCTTAATATATTATATTCTATTTAAATTTAAATATTTAAAGGTGGAAAAACAGCGAAAAATCCCTTCGAGCTGTTCAAGATAATTGATGTTGATGATGACGGTCAACTTGGCTTTGAAGAGGCTGCCGGTTGGTTTTCCCAGTTGAAAAATCAGACTAAGGACGATACTCTTGGAGATGTAGAATTCCGTATGCTTTTCAAGGAGGCTGACGCGAATAGTGATGGATTTATTCAATTTGAAGAGTTGGATAAAGCGTTAAAACTGGCATTTAAAAATGAGTTTGAGAGCGATGAGAGCGACGAAGAAGGTTAATACTCAATTGATCATATGTAAAAAATATTTTTTGAAATTAAGATGTTGAGGAACGCGAAGATGTTGAGAAGCGCGAAGATGTTGAGGAACGCAAAGATTCTCATGTGAGTGAAATGAAACCCTCCTCAGATGAATCAGCGATTTCAAAACCTACAAAACTTTTTGAGATAATCGATTCTGACAACGACGGTAAAATCACTTTTGTAGAAGCATCAGAATGGTTTAGTAAAATGAAGAATCAGAGCATGGACTTTACCAGTGACGATAAAGAATTCCGTAATCTCTTTAAAGCAACAGACAAAAATAGTGACGGATTCATTCAACCCGAAGAATTGAGACAAGTAGAGGTCCTAGCTAGAGCACTCGCGGCAAATTTTCTTCCCAATAAGAGTAAGCAATACTTTATTTTTTCCGGGATAGTTGTTGGAACTATCCGGTAAAGGCTTGAATTCTTTTATATTCCACGGCCTTAAGCCATGATTTAGATTTTATTATTTCAAGATTCAATACAAGCCATTACTATGGAACAAGCCCCTGCTATTGAAACCTCTCAAGATCAACCAAAAGAATTAACTCCTTTTTATTACGGTTATTTAATAATTTTGTTTACTTAATGTTAATATAAGGAATTATTTACAGATGTGAAGAAACTTTTCAAAATAATTGACGTTAACATGGATGCCAAAATTTCATTTGAAGAGGCCGCCGATTGGTTTTCAAAGGTGAAAAATGAGACTAAAAGCGATGCGCTGGGTGATTTAGAATTCAATTTACTTTTCACTAAGGCTGACAAGAATCATGATGGATTTATTGAATTTGAGGAAATGGATAACGCGTTAAAACTGGTATTTGAAAATTATACTGGTGAGAGTAATGAAGATGACAGTGATGCCGAAGAGAACATTTCCGATGAAAAGGAGAACGTTTCTGATAACAAAGAATCTGTTTCTGATACCAAGGAGAACATTTCCGATAAAAAGGCTTACGTTTCTAATACCAAAGAAACCGTTTCAGAGGATAAAGTTTCAGATAACAAGGAAAACATTCATGATAACAAAGGGAACATTTCTGACAACAATGCAATTGTTTCAGATAACAAGGAGAACGTTTCAGATAAAACCAAAGAAACCGTTTCAAAGGAAGACGTTTATGATAACAAAGAATCTGTTTCTGATAACAAGGAGAACGTTAATGATAACAAAGAATCCGTTTCTGATACCAAGGAGAACGTTTCTGATAACAAGGATAGCGTCTCTGATAATAAAGAGAACGTCTCTGATACCAAAAATATTACTGAGAGTAAGGAGAACGTTTCTGATGACAAAGAAACCATCTCTGCTAACAAGGATAACGTTTCTGATAACAAAGAACCCGTTCCAGATAACAAGGATAACGTTTCTGATAATAAAGAGAACGTTTCTGATACCAAAAATACTACTGATAGTAAGGAGAACGTTTCTGATAACAAAGAAAACATTACTGATAGCAAGGATACCATCTCTGATAATAAAGATGGAGTTGCTACAGATGATAAAGTTTCTTCTGTTGCAAAATCTGTTCAAGAAAGTAAAGAGAAAATTGCTACGGAGAACCTCAATACTGATGATAAAATCGAGCGTAAGGAGAATGATGAACTTAAGGAGAAATCTACTACTGATGTCAACAAGAACACTGATTCGATCGTAAAGGAAAATGCTTCTGTTGAAAAAGATAATTTGAATACTCCTACCATTAGCAAAGAAAAGGATGTCAATGATACAGTTCCCTTGAATGCTGCTTCTGAGAATATAGAAAATGCTACAAACAATGAGCCCGTCAAGGAAGATAAAAGCAAAGAGAATGCCATTGAAAATATCAACAAGGATACTGTTGTTGTGAATGAAGTTAAAGAAGATGGAGAAATCCATGATAATGATAAGGGCTCTACTGAGAAGAGTAAAGATAATGCCTTGGTCAATGATAATGGTGACAAAACAGTGGAAGTCAAAGAGAGCACTGAAAAGGATAATGCTGAGGAGATGCAGAAGGGTAAAGATAATACCTCAGCTATTGAAGATGATGGTGACAAAACTGTTGAAGTCGTAAAGAGCACTGAAAAGAATAACGCAGAAGAAATCCAGAAGGCTAAAGGTAATTCCTCAGAGATTCAGAAGAATAAAGATTCAGCTATTGAAGATGATGGCGACAAAACTGTTGAAGTCAAAGAGAGCATTGAAAAGGCTAGTGATGAAGAAATTCATAAAGATAATTCCTCGTTTATGGAAAAAGAGGGTGTTACAGATGCCAAGGAAACCACTGAAAAGGATAATGTTGAATCCACAACAAGTGATAATGTTCTCGCTACTGATAAGGCAACAGAGAATGGTCCAAATGACGATAAATCAGTTGGTAAGGACCTAAACGAAGAAATTGCAGAGAAGAACGTTGCCGATAAATCTGAAAACAAGGAGAAAGCTGATAGTGTTGTGGATGGAACAGACGGTAAAAACAAAGATGAGAACAAGGGCAACGCCAATAATGACTCTTCCATGTCAAAAGATTCTGGATCTGCTGAAGGTAAAGATAACGATTTTAGTAATAAATATATGGTTAATTTCAGAAGATAAAGAGAATATTGCCGAAACTAAAGAGAATGCTTCTAATTCTGTGAATGAGACAGACTATAAAAAGGAAGATGAAAAGAATGACAACGCCATTCATGACTCGTCTTCTATGTTCAAAGATTTTGGTTCTGCCGAAGGTAAAGTGGATAAGTTTAGTGTAAATTATTTGGTTTATTTTAGAAGACAAAGAGAATGATGCTGACACCAAAGAAAATGCTTCAACTGATGACGCTGTTTTAGAAAATGGCAAGAAGGATGAGGCTCCTTCCGATAAGGAGAATGCAGTAATTGATCATTGAGGAAGTTACAATTTTTTATTGTGAAAAGAAGTGTACATACGATTTTGAAACCATTTACCTTTTTTAAAGACAAGAGAATCCATCCATAAATCATTTATCATTTCATTTTTGAAATTTAAAAACATGTTTTTTTATCTAATTCTCACCAAACGATAGTTTTTTTATTTTTTTTTTCGATTTTCGTAAAGTAAAAGTTTTTTTGGGTACATAACTTATATTTATTGTGTTTTTATTAATAGGACTTGATTATTTTTTTCAAAATATAATGGGGAATACCCTATCCATTTTATCTAAGCTTATCTGATTTAATTTAATCGTTCGGAAAAGCCGCTGAAACAAACAAACAATTGCAAAATAGGCTTTATAATGTCATTTAAAACATTTAGATTAATTAAAAATTTTAATGGTCAAAGACCAATAAGTCAAAGATTAAGTTAAAGATTATTTTAATAAGACCACTAGCACACCCTAAATATTTTAAAATATTTCGAAAATAAATAACAAAAATTTTGTTTTCTAAAAATATTTTTTTTATTTTCCCACAAATTATTTTTGAAAAAAGTTTGCGAAAATTTTTTGTTCTTATTTTGTGCTTAACAACTAAAAAAAGACTCGTTTACATATTAAATATGTATGCAAAATTAAATTAGCAAATAATTTTCTGTACATATGCTTAATATTTAAATTTAATTATTATTTTTATTTTTTATTAAAGATTCAAGTGTGTGCAAAGATAATTATTATATGTATACAGGGTGGCTAAAGAACGTATCCCTTTTCAATTCATCATAATTTTTTACTCGTTTACATTTTTTAATATTATTATTCTCATTTTTGTATCCAAAGAAGTGTAGGGTTTATGCGCAGCCAAATTGCCCGGTTTATGTGTCTCAGGAATGGTCCCAAAACTCACTCACCAAATTTAAATCCGATGGATTACTGTTTGGTATTTTGGAGATAAGGGTCTGCGCTTAATAACCCAAGAGATCAAACTAGAGGAAGGTTGAGGAAGGTTGAAAAAACCTTCCGTAGAGGAAGGTTGAAAAATAAACCTACTGTCTCTATCAGACCGACCCCTTCTAATTAACAAGTGTCCCCTATCCTTTATACTTAATTCTTTCTGGAGAAATGGTGGAAAAAATTCTAGTTGTAAAGGCAAATATGGATAAACTGTTGCTTGGTCCACCAACTGAAATTGATTCTGATGAAACAGATGATTTTGATGATGATTTAGATGATATTTAATTAATTTAAATGGGTTTTGGTGGATAAAAAAAGTTTTGAAAAATCTCGGTTTATCTCGGATCTCGATATCGGTCTCGGGTCAAATTTTACATCTCGGTCTCGGTCTCGGTCATGCGGGTCTCGGTCAATCTCGGTCTCGGATTTTTTCTAAAATCTCGATCTCGTGCAACTCTAGATCAAAGTCGCTAAGGTAATCACTCCTTCGGCAATGGAAGAAAGTCTCTCCCAAGGTGATTATCTTTAATTTGGATAAAGTTGTGTCATAAAATACGTGTTCCATTACTTTCTGGCCACCATGTATATTATTATTATTTTTGCAAATTAAGAGATTTTGATAATAATTAATAACAATTCATTTACCAAATAATTTTTAAAACACAAATTTTACTCTTTTGTCAATTAAATTCTTGATTCAATCCTTGTTGGTACTACTTGCCTTCAATTAAGCGACAGTACTGTTTTCAAAAATAATTTTTGAGATAAATGAATGATACTATATTAAATCTGACAGTATTAAAAAATTCTCCTTCAATAATTATTGTTTTTTCAATAAATTGTTTTTTAAATTTATGTGGAATTTTAATGAATATTGGATTAATAATAATTACGGTTAAATACAAGTAAGATTCTATTAATAAATATCCTAATAAATACGATAAAGCAAGAAACCAGAATATAATATATCAAAATCAAAAATGGGCATTAAAATCAGAATTAAAAATCAGAATTAAAATAAGGACTAAAAATCAGAATTAAAAACCATAATTAAAATAAGGATTAAAAATCAGAATTAAAAAATCAGAATTAAAAACCAGAATATATTAAATTTAAAATCAGAAAAATTTATTTCAGAGCCCTACAAAGCACTTGCCATTTACTTATTGCCTATTGTTCTTTATGTACGATTCCTCTACTCTCAGAAGTGTTTATTACCTTAATTGCTAATCTATATACATCATTAGAATCTATATCAAGTTTACAATGTTTCTTTGTTCAGTTATTGCCAGCTTATGGAATATGTAGTGTTACTAGTCTTATTGCTTGTATTGGGCTGGATAGGGCTTTGAGCGTTTTCTTTCCACTTTGGTAAATTTTACTTGAAATAACTGGGTACATATCCAGCCTGTGGTCGATAGATCCAGCTGGCGAGCATTTAAAAGCTCATTTGGTAGAGCACCTGTACGTGGTGTTCAGAAGTGCATAGCAATAACTGCCAGGATGTCGCAGGATCGATCTGCCCGGGTTTAAGCTTTTATCTGCCCGGGTTTAAGCTTTTACCTGGCTCTTACTATAAAATATGTATCATAATTAATTTTACTCATGAACTGGACTATAATCAAACATAATATACTTCAACATTATTTCTTAAGGTACAACTACAGAAATGAGAGAAAGGCACTTTTATCCCTTATAGCACTCTCATCATCATTTCCATTATATGTTATCTGGATTATGTTACAAAATACTTTGGAAAATCCCACTCATCAAATAGTTTGCACTATGGGCGGATTGCTTGGTGCCAAGATTGTTCATGTTGCTACACTTTCTTTTTGTTTAATAGTTGTATCCGTATTGTGTTATTTACTGGTTTGGGTTAAGTTGAAGTGGGATATGAAAAAGGACACGTTTAATGGAAGTATGTTTTTATTATAGATTTTTAGGGCTCTTATCCAGTCTATACTTTTTCCGAAGTTTATGTGTCCCTTTAAGATCCATAAATTCTTTAGGGTTTCAATTTCAAGGTTGGGGTGGATGGGTTTCGTTACATCATTTTATCTTAGGGACTTAATCTGTTACAAGTGTGGGTTCCCCAATTTTCTCTTACATATAACATGAAGGTGCCGAGGAAAGTGTGAACATTGTTTGGAAGCTCGTGCCAAAATTCATGCTCACCCTCGAACACAATGGAAATAAAATAGGCGTTGTACGAATATATGACCCAATAAATAATTTAATTTTTAAAAGAAATTTTTTCAAAAATTTAAGATATCCAAGCCCGACAAGCAATTTTTCATTCATTAATGATTATAATGGCTATCCAAGTTTGTGGGTGGTGTATAAGCTTTTTAGCTATAGTTGTTATTTATTTGTGTATAACTGATCCATATATGAAATTGTTATTAACAATTCTGGTTATTCTTTTTGAAGGTATTGCAGCAAGTAGTGACCCTATAGTTCTTTTAATTACAAGGCAAAATAATTTTTTTAATTTAAAAATAATTTAAATTAATTTAAGCAAGGAATATCGACAAGCTTTTTACAAACAATTTCCATGGCTTTCACTATTTTATAAATTAAAAACAAATAAAATTGTGCCACAAGTATGTATTTTTAATTTCTCAGTCAGGATTTGAAAAGAAGTCCGACTCTGAATATATTAGTAATTAGTCTGTGTACAGAGAAGGGAATAACAGCAATGAAAATGGAAAAAACCAGAAGAATCTGGAAGCTCGAAAAATGTGAAAAACCCTCGGAAGGAATCTTCAAAAAATCAGAAACCTTAAAAACACATTAAACAATCTAACCTATCCAATACTCATATTCCTATCCTTAAAATTATAAAAATCAGAAGGAGTGTCGGAATCCAGAGGTGGGTCGGAATTCCGATTTCCGACTTTCGATTTCCGGCTTTTCCGATTTTCGACACCGCTGACTGTTCCGACCCACCTCTGCTCCTATCCTTATTAAATTTATTAAAATTAATTTTATTTCAGAAAAATATTTTCACTACAAAAGTTAACGAGGCCCAAAATATTAATAACGCTGTCCAAATGACTTCGAATTTATGAAAAATATTTTAAGAAAGATGAAGCTTCGTAAAAAAATTTAAAATTATTTTTCTTCAAGTTTACTTCTAAAAATATTTTTTTCTTCAAACTTTCCTTCAAATTATTAATTTTTGAAAAATTGCGAAATAATTATTTATTTTTAGTAAATAAAAAAACACTCGTTTAAATAAATATGCAAAATTAAATTAACTAATAATTTGTTTTTTATTACAAATCAAAAATTATTATAAGGCAACATTAGCATTAATAAATGCTATAAATATTTTTATTATTTTATTAAGCATTTAATAAACATATATTTAATTAAGGGTCTGTGCAATACACAATTATACATACCTACACAAATACATATTTTATTTTTTATTTCTGTAAATTAAAAATTTTGGCGAAAAATAAATAAAAAACAAAATTTGTTTCTGTATTCCTTCTTTGACGGAAGCTCTTTTTCCAAAAAAATACCTAGCCAGATCCCTATTTGCTCTATCACACTACTATATCCTCCTTATCCGTGTGTATCTCAGCAGCAATTTTGGATTTTTTGAAGGATTCTGAAACATTCAAAAGAGCTATAACTTACGTTTTGAGTCACCCTGTATTTCGAGGCTGGGCTAATTTTGCATTTCGCGTTTCGCATCTTTCGCATATTTTAACTTTTTCGGCGAGAAAAGTTTCGGATTTCGGGTTTCGCTTTTTTACTTTTAGATTCTATAAAATATTACCAAAAATGTGCTAGGCCAACAAAGCCATCTGCTATTATTAACAACCCATAATAATATCGGAACATAACGGAACGGAGCTAATAAAATTTTAAAGAAAATTTTTAATCAAATAATTTTTTCTAAGAAAAATGAGATAATTAGGGTATATAATTTGTAACTTTTTCCATTTTTAGAGAAATATCTTTATAATATTTTAAAAAATTATTAGCTTGTAGCCAAAATTTTATTTAAATTTTACGAGAAGAAAATATTTTTTTAATTGCTAGGTTTCTGAATATTTTTATTTTTAAAAATAAATTTTTCACTCATTTTCAACACTCAGTTTGCCTGTAATTAACCAAAAAAAAATTTTTTTGAAATTAGATGAGTAATATATTAGATCCAATTTCGGTAAAAAATTCTTCCTTAATACATATTATTTATTCAATAAATGGTTTATTTAATTCTTTTGGGATTTTAATGAATATTGGATTGATAATAATTACTGTTAAAAACAAGTAAGATTTTGTTAATAGATAAAAATTTTAATAAATAAAAGATATCAGAGCTAACCGGTACAGGTGACCGGTACAGGTGAGTACCAGTAAAAGTTTTCGGTAGTACCGCGGGACTCCGGTACTCACAATAAATAATATAATATCAAATTTATCGTTATTTAAAAATTGTTTTCACTGAATTTAAACAATAAAAATTTTAGAAATAAATTTTTCGAGAAGTGTATGCTTCAAAACATTAATTGAATAGTCATGGATTTGAAGGATATTATTGGATTAGGAAGATATCAGTTGATCTAGAGGATATAGGGGATATTAAGAGAGATATTGATGGATATCTGGATTAGAAATGCAGATGATATGGTTAGACTTGACATCTAAATATCTTCCACTTATCCTTTTAATCCATAGATATCCACAACAATTATCAATGCTGGGTATTGGGCGTTTCAGAATTAATTAAATAACGGAATTCTGATTTCAAACTAAAAATTAGTATAAATATCAGAATTAAAAATCAGAATAAAAAGCATTATTTATTTCAGAACTCTACAGAGCACTTGCCATTTACTTATTGCCTATTGTTCTTTATGTACGATTCTTTTGCTATCAGCAGAGTTTATTCCCTTAATTGTTGTTTTAGCTTCATCATTAGGATCTATTTCAATGTTAACATGTTTCATTATTCATTTATTGCCAGCCTATGGTATTTGTAGTGTCACCAGTTTGATTTCTTGTATTGGGTTGGATAGAGCTTTGAGTGTTTTCTTTCCCTTTTGGTAAGATAAATCAGAATTAGAGATCAGAATAAAATCGGAATTAAATTCAGAATAAAAAATCAGAATAAAAAATCAGAATAAAAATCTGAATAAAAATCAGAATAAAAATCAGAATTATAAATCAGAACTAAAAATCAGAATAAAAATCAGAATTATAAATCAGAACTAAAAATCAGAATAAAATTCAGAAGTAATAATCAGAATTAAAAATCAGAATAAAAATCAAAATTATTTTTATTAATAAATTAGACATAAAGAGAAATCATAAAGGGAAATACACCATTAGATCAGTATTTCTTAAGGTACAACTACAGAAATGAGAGAAAGGCACTTTTATCCCTTATAGCACTCTCATCATCATTTCCATTATATGTTATCTGGCTAATTCTACAAAATACTTTGGAAAATCCCTCTCTTCGTATAGTCTGCACTTTCGGTGAATTGCTTAGTGCCAAGACTGTTTTTGTTGCTTTCCTTGCCTTTTGTTTAATATTTATATCAATTTCATGTTATCTAATGGTTTGGGTTAAATTGAGATGGGATATGAGGAAGCACAATTTCAATGGAAGTTGGTTTTTATTATAGATCATGTCCAGTCTTTGTCCAGTATATTCTTGTCAGTCTTTACGGCAGGAATAGGATGATGATTGAAATGATCATCAAAAAAGTGATCGTGCGGTTCCAGCTGGGCAGGAATGGGATGTCTGTGCATTAAAATCCGGCTGCCGCATTAAAATGCGTGTGTGCCGAATTTTTCTAAGTTTAGGGTCGAAAAGTCCGGGGGGGGGGGGGAGGGGGATAACCTGACTTGGCTGTGATTCGAACAGAACCTGTTAGATATCGGAAACTGATGCACATCCTTCTGTGCATCTGTTGCCTGCGAGTCTAAATAATGAGGATCACTATCACTAGCGTAAATGGTTCATTATATGATCCAATAAATTATTTTTTAAATAAAAAATTTTTAAAAATTTAAGATGTCCAAGCCCGACAAGCAATTTTTCATTCATTAATGATTATAATGGCTATCCAAGTTTGTGGGTGGTGTATCAGCAATTTAGCTTTCGTTTTCATTTATTTATTTACAACTGATCCATATATGAAATGGGTATTAGCAGCTTCCTTTAATGTTTTTACCTGTATTATAGCAAGTAGTGATCCTATAGTTCTTTTAATTACAAGGCTAGGAAATGGCAAAAAAATTTATTTTAAAATAATTTTAGTGAGGAATATCGACAAGCTTTTTACAAACAATTTCCATGGCTTTCACTATTTTATAAATTAAAAACAAATAAAGTTGCGGTTGTCTCACAAGTATGCACTATTAATTTTTGAAATAAAAATCTGGCTTACTTGAAAAAAAGCAGGAATTAATGGGGCAGAAGCAAGGAGAGAGGGCTTTATAAACCCTCTCAGAAAATTAGAGAGCCCTCAGATGCCCCAAATTACCCTAGAAAACCATCAAAACTCAGTGAGAATAAAAAATATCGGCTCTACTCCATTTTATGCGTCCAATCGACTTTTATGCGTCCATTGAAAGTTTATGCGTCCAATGGAAGCTAGCTCCGTACCCAACGCTATGGAAGCTACATAGCTCCAAACCTGGCTCCGGGCCAAACTCCGTAGCCGTCTCCTCCCAAGTTTTGATCTGACCAGAGCCAACAAATACTCAATACCCAGCATTGATCCCTCAACTAGCCCTCAACTAATATATCTCTATACAATTAATAATTTAAAAAATTTATTTCAGAAAATAATATTTGTCAATAAAAAAATTAACGTGGCCCAGATGACGTCGAATTTATGAAGAATATTTTTGAATAATGAGGAGTTTTTAGTATCAATAATTTTCTTTAAGTGTTATTAATTTTTTAGTGTTTTTTAATTGAAAAAAAATTTAAAAAAGTTTCCATTTTGCAGAAAATTATGACAAAAAAGAAAAAGTTCACCTAATTGCCGCACCTTGTATTTTTATTTTTAGCTAATAAATAAGCAAATTAATTTAATACCTACCTATTTATGTAATTAAAAAATGCTATTAACGATTTTATTATATTAGAGATCGAAAAATTATTTAGGATGTTTTTTCCATTTGGAAGGCCAAGAACTTAGAATTCTTCCCATTTTTTCTATTTTTTTCATTTTTTGCGTTAATTTCGTCAAGAATAACGCAACGCGCACTAACTAATATGTATGTAAATCTAAAAAAATAATTTTTCCCTATCGAACACAAATAAAATATGAAACAATAAAATTTTTAAAAAATTTTCTAAAAATAATTTTTAAAATTTTCGCATAAATTACAATTTATATTTTTAAAAAGCTTGCGAAAAAATCGTGTGAAACCTTATGTTACTTCATTTATTTTTAGTAAAAAATAATTTTTTGTAAAATAATTTATTTTAAATTATTAAAATTATTAGCTTAATATTTTTATTATTTTATTAAAGAATATGTGGGTGTGCAGCAGGGTTAGGACGGCAGGGCTGGACAAATTTCGGATTTCGCATCTTTCGCATATTTCACATTTTTTAGCGCGAAAAGTTTCGCATTTCGCTTTTTATTTTAGATTTCGCCCAGCCCTGTGGACAGTTTGTCCGATCCGACATTCTACTCAAACCTAAACCAAATCCGAAAGAAATTTTTGAAAGCCCGATCCGACTTTTTTCTAAACCCGTTCCATCCCTGGTGTGCAACACACCTTAAGGTATTCATAATTATTTTAGGGTTCAAAATTTGAGAAATGCTGGATTCGGTTCCGGATTTAAATTTTTTATCCGGATCGGATTTTACGGATCGAACTCCGGAAACTCCTGTTTTTATTAAATTTACGGATTCTGGACTACCCGATTTTTGAAATTTTGGATCCGAGTTCGAACCCTAATTATTTTTGCAAATTAAAAATTTTGATAATAATTATTATCAAGCAATTCATTCGCTAAATAATTTTCAAAAAACACATTTTCATTTGTCTAGCTGGTTCAAGTCTGTTTTGAGATTTTTTGAGATTAAATGAATAATACAATGTTAAATCCAACAGTGATAAAGAATTCTCCTTCAATAATAATTATTCTTTCATTAAATTGTTTTTTTAATTTATTTGGAATTTTAATGAATATTGGATTGATAATAATTACGGTTAAAAACAAGTAGGATTTTGAATTATTGAAAACTTTGATAAACAGTAGAGAGCAAAAGATCAAGACATAATATGTAAGGCTGTACCGCGTCTTCGCACGAAGGTCTGGGAATTTGTTACTTTTTTCGAGATCCCTCCTTCCCTCTCACCAGTGGCTCTCCGAAGTTTTTGCATTTCAAAAGAGTGTAGGTCTGCATTAAGTTGGCTCGAGGTAAGTTTGGATGTACCAGTTACAGAGCACGTGTCTCCACTGAGGTGTACGGCTCGGCTTCGAATGACATATAATTTGAAGAGTTTGGCGTCTGAGTCAAACTATACCAAAATTTCCTCCAAGATCAGAATTAATTTACCATTTCAGAACTCTACAAAGCACCTGCCATTTACTTATTGCTTGTTGTTCTTTATGCACGATTTTTCTACTTTCAGAAATGTTTATTCCCTTAACTGTTACTCTATCTACATTATTAGGATCTATTCCAATGTTAACATGTTTCTTTATTCATTTATTGCCATCCTATGGTGTTTTTAATGCTACTAGTCTGATTGTTTGTATTGGGTTGGATAGAGCTTTGAGTGTTTTCTTTCCCTTTTGGTAGGATAAAGTAGAAATTAGAAATCAGAATTTAAAAGTCAGAACAGAAAATCAGAACAAAAAATCAGAATAAAAATTAATTTTGATCATATATTGGACTATCATTAGACAAAATACGGAACGGACCCGTTGAGCACCAGCCAAATTTTTCAAAAAAAAAAGCCAAATTTTTTCAAAAACTTTCAAAGGATATAAGATACATCCAAATGTATCTTATATCCTTTGAAAGCCCTCGATAAGCGGTATCTTTACTCAATTTGGGTGGATCATAATCGTATGGGTGGATCATAAGGAGTACTCATTTGGGTGGATCATAAGGAGTACTCATTTGGGTGGATCATAAGGAGATTTGGGTGGATCATAATGTGTGGAACCTTATGATCCACTCAATTTGGGTGGATCATAAGGAGTACTCATATACCTATGATAGATCAAGTTGGAAAAAATGATACCGCCTATCCAGGGCTTTCGACTGATATAAGCTTCATTCGTACTGGATTAAGCAGTTAAAAGTCATAGCCGATCAGAGTCGGCTGGTACCGAATTAAACTTTTTTTCTCTTCAGGTACAACTGCAGAAATGAGAGAATAGCATTTCCAACACTTTTAACACTCTCAACATTATTTCCACTTTATGTTATCTGGCTTATTTTACAAAATACTTTAAAAAATCCCTCCTATCAAATAGTCTGCACTTTGGGGGAATTGCTTTGTGACAAAGCTGTTCATGTAGCTTTCCTTTCTTTTTGTTTAATATGTGTATCCGTATTGTGTTATTTAATGGTTTGGGTTAAATTGAAATGGGATATGAAGAAGAACACTTCTAATGGAAGTTTGTTTTCTAATTTTAGGGTTCTTATCCAGAAGAGGTCGATCGGAAATGACGAAGGTGCCGGAAATAGGAACCGTTGGAAATCGGAAATGGCTCAAAAGTGGGAACTCGGAAATCGGAAATCAGCTCAGATTTTCGGAAATCGGAACTATCTGAAATCAGCTCAAATTTTCGGAAATCGGAACTATCGGAAATCAGCTCAAATTTTCGGAAATCGGAACTATCGGAAATCGGAATTTTGATCAACCTCTGTTATCCAGTCAGGATCTATTTAACGAATAAATATTTATAAAATTATATATTGGGTTTTCTTAAGGGTTTAAGGGTGGTGGTAGGTTTCATTCAGGCAGGACGCAATTGAAAATAATTTTCCGCAGCTGCAATCCACTGTTCGTAAGTCAAAAAACCATGCAACTCTACGCAGTCGGCAATTGCGTTCAGCCCTGGTTCCATTAGATCGTAGGAGTTCTATAGCTCTCCTCGAATAGTCTGCACTCGGGAGGAATGTCAATTATGAGAGAGTTAATAATCTATGTGTAATAAATAATTTTTTTTATAAAAATTAAGATATCCAAGCCCGTCAAGCAATTTTTCATTCATTAATGATTATAATGTTTATCCAAGTTTGTGGGTGGTGTATCAGCAATTTAGCTTTTGTTTTTATTTTTTTGTTTGTAACCGATGAATATATGAAATGGTTATTGTCACTTTTATTTTATTCTCTTTCTTGTATTGTAGCCAGTAGTGACCCTATAGTTCTTTTAATTACAAGGCAAGAAAAATTCAAAAAAAAATTATTATAAAATAATTTAAGCAAGGATTATCGACAAGCTTTTTACAAACAATTTCCATGGCTTTCACTATTTTATAAATTAAAAACAAATAAAATTGTGCCACAAGTATGTATTTATATTTTTGAAATAAAAATCTGGCTCACTTGAAAAAAAGCAGGAAAAGTGAACAAGAAAAAAGACGAGAGATTGGAAAAAGTCCAGAATACCGTATATACTCTATTAATTACCCTGGGTAATTATTGTTTCGACTTCTCTCTGGAGAGGGTAATTGATAGAGGTTAGTTTAGGAAGGCTAATTATAACTATTTTTAAGTGAGTATTTATTGTTTCCACCTTTAGCTAGAGGGGGTAACTAATGGAGTTGGGGTAATTATTTGATGGAGGGTAATTAATAGAGTATATACGGTAATCGGAAAAATCCAGAATAACTCAATCAGAAAAATATGAGAAACCCAAGTAACCAAAATCTAGAATCTTTATTTATTGAAAAATTTAAAAAATTTATTTCAGAAGACAATATTTGTCAATAAAAAAATCAACGTGGCTCAAATGACGCCGACTTTATGAAAATAATTTATGAATAATGAAGCTGACTAAAAATCATCCATTTATTTTCTGATTTTAATTTTTACGCTCACGAATAAAATTTTTCCAACTCATCCAAAATTAGACTAAATTATAAAATTTAAAGCCGATTTTGGTATCAAAAAATTAGAGTTGTACCCCGACCCCGTACCCCGAACCCCGACCCCGTTCCCGAACGATTTTTTCACGATTCTCCCCGACCCGAACCCCGCCCCGAAAAAAAGTGAAAACCCCGTTCCCCGACCCGAAAAGTTTCGGGGTTATCGGGGTTTTATACCCCTAAAAAATGTCATTTTTTGGAGAAATTAATGAAGAAAATTAAAAAAAATTTCCACCCATTTTACTGGGCTTTTATTATTTTTGAAAGAAAAATGAATGAAATATTATAATTTTCTTTCCTGCTATATTAAGAGATTCGGTTGAGTGGCTTAGTCGTTGGTTTTGCCGATATTTCATTAATATAGGATTGGGTTCGGACCCATATAAGGATAACTCTGTTGTTTTTATATTTTTTCACAAAAACAAATTATTAACGAGTTAAATTTTAATTTGAAAATAATAATTTTATTTTTAACTGATATCCCTTGAACCACCCTTAATCCTTCAAACCCTCTGTATCACCAGTTCTCAACAATAACAGTTGGAAAACTATCGAGGTCCTGTTAACGGGAATCAGAGATATAAAGGGATTTGTAGGATATGGAAGAATTAAGGAGTTTTAAAGGGATATAAGGTTTAGATTAAAATGGATTTGAAAGGATTACGTGAATTTAACGGAATTAACAAGGATTTCGTGGGAGATTTAAGGAATAATCGAAGATATCTCCTGATATCCGTCCAAATACCCTTATCCGCATACATCAATATTCTTATAAATCACTAATATCCCTTGAACCAACAAAAATCACTCCAGATCACCTTGTATCCTTAGTCATACCATTTAATCCCTAAAAACCCCCACTTAATCCCTCCAGATCCACTTATATCCCAAGTTATACGCTTTAATCCCTTCAAATCCCCTCTAATTTCTTCAAATCCTACTTAATTTTTGAATAAATCAACGAAAATATATCGATTTCTAATTATTTTTGAGCATTTTTTTCTCTAAAAATTTTTCCACTAAACCCCCGTACCCCGACCCGAACCCCGGCCATATTTTGCTCCCCCGACCCGAACCCCGCCCCGAAACAATTGGAAAACCCCGTACCCCGACATACCCGCCCCCGAACGTTCGGGGTACAACCCTACAAAAAATTTGACAGAGTCTTGTAATTGAAATAAAATAATTATCAATTTCCATTAACTTTGCAGAAAGTTATATGACGTAAAGGAAAAGTGCTCCTAATTTGCTGCACCTTGTGTGCTTTATTTATTTTGGGACATTCGTTGAGTAATAAATTTAATTATGTAGTATTTTTTTTTATTCAAAAGCAACATGTATGCTTAATACCTACATAATGTAAAGCATATAGCTATTTATTCTAATTGAATGGCACCTCCATTTGAATGGCACCTCCATTCGAATGACATTTTTTGGGGTATTGAAAAATAGAATGGCAATTAGAATGAATACGGTAGCTATTTATTTCCTAAGGCTAAGAGCAGTAGGCGATGTGGTGTAAGGCTATCACTTAAGTCCGGTCTACTGAAGATGCTGGTTCGCCTCCAGCCGCCGATTAACCTTTTGCGCTAGCTAAAGGAGAGAAATAGCTATAGCCCAGCTGCTTTACTATATCAGGGGTGTGCTGTTTCGCTTTTTAACTTTCATCTTTCATCACATTTTCGCATTTTTTGGACTTTTGCACCTTTCATTATTCATGTTTCGCTTTTTAAAATCTGTTTCGGCACACCATTGATGCATATTTAATTTAATTCCCCCTTCCCTCATTAATTTTATTATATTAAAGATTGAAAAAATGTTTAAGATATAAATATAGGGTGTGCTATACATAGTTATTTGTAGCAGATTTATTATTTTTGCAATTAAAAAAATTCTTTTTTTATTAGTAACATTAAAAAAATAAACAAAAATATTCATAAATTAGTCAGAAAAAAAAAGAAATTGGGTAAGAAACCTTACAAAAAACCAGAAAAATCAGAACAACCAAAGACTCTAAAATCTCCAAAAAATTCAGAATTCTATCCAAAATTATAATTCTGATTTTATTCAAGAAAACACTAATATTTGTCACTATAAGAATTAATGTGGCACACTTCTAATTGATGAAAAATATTTTATGAATAATGAAGTTTATTCAAAGAGGAAACTAAAAATTAAAAAAAAACTTTTTTTTAATTTAAATTTTTTTTCGAAAAATAATTTTAATAAATATGCATGCAAAATTAAATAAATTTGCAAAATTTAATTTAAGTAATAATTTTTATTTTTTATTCCAAAGTAACAATTAGGTATTATATGTATTTAATTCAAAAAATGCCTATAAATATTAGTATTTAATTAGAAATCTAATAAAAATATTTATGATAAATAACGGGGTGTAAACACACATTTATGTGTTCATTTTTGTAAATTAAACATTTTCGTAATTACAATTTTTATAAAGCAAACAATTTTTATAAAGCAAATTTTTTTGTGGCTCAGTTTGAGTCTTTTCTGAATATAAGCCGAAGCTCTTTTCTAAAAAAAATTTTTTTAATTTATATTTTAATTTATATTTAAAATTTATATTTTTTTTCCAATCTTTGAAGCTTGCAGTTAACCGAAAAAAATTAATTTTTTATTGAAATTAACTGAATAATACAGTAATGATAAAAAGTTATACTTCAGTAATCT